CCCTTCCTCAAAAGTATTGCTGTGGAGGTGTTTCCTCATGATCTTTAAAGTCCCTTCCAACCCGAACCATTCTATGACTCAATGCCACATGAAAAGCTCGCACCAGCAATATCGTAACATATTGTGGCATATATTTAGAAGAAAAAAGGACTACAGTTTAGTTTAGACTGCAGTTTTATAAAGAGAAGATGTCTTTCTGACTCCTGTTGAAAACATAGCTACTTTAAACCTTTGTTTCCACTTCCTGGGTTACTTGCTTTGCAGATTACATCCTATTCAAGGAACAGAGAGGAAGATGGCATTATCTCTAGGCACCTAATGCCATCCACTCCCGCGCCATGTGCAATGCAGCATTCATTACCATACAAAAATAGGGTCCCTACTACCCTTACTTTGAGACAGTACATTTAAAAAAAGAAAACTAATCACTGCTCTTGGTAAAATCTCTACAAAATTACTTTAGATTTACGTCCAACTTTTACACATTCAGTATCGTCCTTAAACTTGGAGGGAATTATATCCTATCTCCAGTTTGACAGCAAGTATAACGCTGTGATTGAAACAGCTGCTGTGTGATGAATCCTCACTCACCTGATGTCCTCACAAACGTCTCTCTGTAAGATATGGCATGCTTTAAACCAAATGTTAATAAGCTTCTTCCACAAGTGACCCGTTGCCATGGAAGAAGTTAATGCTGCGAGATGATCAGATTCAATAAGTTAATAGCATCTTTTGGCTTTAAAAGATTTGGCTTTCCAACTCACTATTCTCGACCAGTAATAATCCTAAATCTGATCACAACAGTGAAAGTCACAGGAGCGATAAGAAACATCCCGCACGACGTCCCCACGCTTGGGTGGTCGCAACACAGAAACTGGTACAATGAAAAAGAGGCTAGAAACATGCACGAGGGAGGCAGGAGGGAGAGAGAGCCGGGCGCTCAAAAGGCAGGTCCTGGGCAGCCAGGCCCGCCTGACAGCCGGCGCGGCCTCCCTCGGGGCCTGCTCCGCTTTGCCAGCAGCGCCCTCCCCGTCACTCACCACAGCCCAACTCACCTCCCTGCTCGAGGACTTTCTTGGGGGGCAGCACGGTCGCCACCTCCTTGACCTCCTCCATGACGACATCCGCGTTAGTTCCCAGGATTTTTTTCAGCCTCTCCAGCTCCTTAGGTGCGTTCTTCTTCCTCTTCTCCGCCCGCATCTTCCTCCTCC